TAATACAACTAAAGTAATACATAATATGCAAAGGTATTAAATTATAACTCAAGAAATTTGAAACTGATAAAAAAGATAATAAATAATTATTTATAAGAAAGAGAATTAATTTAAATAATAATAATTATTATGAAAATATAAGAACTTAATATTATGGATATTGTTTGGGGTATTTCAAAAGCAGATTATCATAGTTGGGAATCAGTAGTTGTTTCAAAAACAGAATATGTTTCTCTTGATATATATTATTCAAAAACATATGATGAAGAATTAGAAGTAGTAATTTTTCTAAATAGTATAGACATTTCTATTGGGTCTTCATTTAAGATAGAAATAGTACAAAAAAGGAAAAATGGGTTTATGCTTCAATGTACATTTGATGAAGGACAGTTATTAAGTTTTGGAATATCTTACATTGCATTTATGCCTATTCCTAATATTATTGAAAAGAGAATCAATGTTTCTTCTCAAGAAATACACCAAGATTTATCATATACGTTTATTGGTGGGATTAGTGCTATGCATCATGTTCCTAATAGGTTTGATTTATATTTATCAACTGGAGGGTATAAAACAAAAAATTATACTATTCAATATTTAAAAATTAAAAATGATCTTATTGGGGATTCTCCTGAGTATTGTTTAACTTGTTTATATTCACCAAATGTCTATAATCAAAATGGATTAGCTTTTGTTAAGGAATTAAGTACAGCACATCCAGGATGTGAAGCATTACCAATATTACATAATTTCTTTAGTCAATCAAATACTATTCGAATTTCTACATTTCAAAACCAAAGAAAAGATGGTATTATAATATCTCTCTTTTCAGATCAAACAGAGAATGTTACATATTGTGTTCTTCTACTTAAGATGAAAGAAATAAAACAAATAACAAACACAGAAATGAAACTCTATCAACCAAAAATAATATGTTATTTATGTCAATCAAATACAGCTGATTGTGTTTTTAAATCATGTTCTCATCTTTCTATTTGTTCAAAATGTTTAACAAAAATAAAAGAATTTGGTTCTGCTTTTTGTCCTGTTTGTGGTATTTCTTCAGAGATTATAATCATTCAATCTAATTAATTGTTTCAAAATTTTTCACTAAGATATGCACCTTTTTTACAATGATAAAAATGGTAAAAATAGATTATATAAGAAAAAATAAGAAACAAAAATACCATAAAACTCCATTCACAATAAATATTATTAGCGAAAGAATTTTTAAGATCTTTATTGAAACAAAAATTATTCTACTCCTTGTAACCCAAAACCAAAAATTAACTTCTATAAGACTCTTTTTCTTCTCCATTTCCAGAATAAATAGGTTCACCTTAAGTTAGTTTTCATTTTTGTTCTCTTGACAGAAATAAAATATTAAAATAATTGGAGATAATTCATCAAAACCCCACTGCCTCTGTTCTAATTTGAATGAATTTTACTTCCCGTTATACAATTAATAGAAATTATTTTCGTTCTTTTTCTTGATTAAGTTAAGTACTAGCAGTACTAGCAAAAAGGACAGAAAAAAAATAAAATATGGGTCATGGAAAATATTTAAAATTCTTGATATATCTTTATTTTAGAAGAAACTAAATACTTCTCAAGTAAAAAAAAACGAAAAAAAGTTTGATTTGAATTAAAAACAATGACAATAATAAAAAACACCCTATCTATTTAAAGGAATCATTTGAATACTAATATTCATTCATTCTTAATATGTTTACACAGATTCCCATTGATTTGTATTCATTATCAAGAAGTTCTCAAAAAGAAAAAGTTCCATGTAAAATTACTTCTAGAAAATTAAGAGACTATCAGACTTGCCAACAAGGTGTATTTGTTGGTCTTCTTAATCAATTCTGTGATATTACTATTACAAAACCACCAAAGAAAGCTGTTATTACTCATCAATTTATTAAAATTAAATCCATTTCTTTTAGTTATAAAGATTCAATTGTAATCGAAGAGTTTCTTCAAAAACGATGTAATGATCATAAAAGTTATGATCTTTCACTTGGTTGTTCTGAAAAAACTGCTAATAGACGTTTTCAAACAAATAAGAAAACCGAAGTCTTACATCTTTTACTTGATTTTTTAACGGAGTTTGGATATTTCTTCGAAGTTAATACAACAAAAGGTAAAAAAGGAACAATGAAACTTCAAAATATTGAAAAAATATATTGTGATGGGAAATTTTTAATGGGTATTAATGACATTTATGATTATGGGTTCAGGATAAATGATATTGTTTGTCAAATGCTTGATAAGAAAGAAGAATTTATTTTACTTAAAAATGAACCAACTATTCGCTCAATATTTGAGTCAGAATCTGTGTAATTTATTTTTATATACTTATTCTATTTTTTTTTTTTAAATTTCTTATAACATTGTTTATTTTTTTTTTGTAGATATTAATAAAAATATTTTCATAAACAATTTTATTTTTTTTATATTTCTGGATTTTATTTCATAACCATATTTAACTCCTATTATTAGCCAGTAAAATTATTATACTATGAAAAATAAAGAGAATATTTTTTCTTTTATGAAATTATCTTCTTTTATTTTTTTTAATATAACAGGAAATTCTTTACTGCGTCTATTTCTTCTCATATATTTTTAGGAATAATAAATACTTTAATACATGTAATATGAAAATACTATTTTAAATCATTTTTGAATATTCTAAATATTTAAAACATCTTTTTACAATTCATATTATCCATTACATAAATTCTATTATTAATAATATTTCAATAATTTCTTTGTTTAAAAAATTAATATTAATTTACATTATATTTTATATCCCATTGAGATATGATTCATTCTGTTAATTATTTGTTATATATTTATTTTCTTTTTTTTTTAAATCATTTGTTTAGTTTAATATATTATAATCAAACTTTCAGTATTACCAATAGTACTTGTATGTTAAAAATAAATTAACGAATTTTTTTATTATTGGATTATTAAAATAAACATTGATAGAATTATGTGTTTTTAATAAAAATCAATTATATTAAAAATCTTTTTAAGAATTAAAAGAATCTCCAGTTCAATACAGTTTTAATTCATAACTTTAACAACTATTAATCGTTTTATTAAAAAGCCATTTTCCTCACTTGACTGATTAAAATATAAATCCTCAGCATGATATAACATTGATGTGTTATAACAATAACTCTTTGCAAATGGTGGTTTGTAAATAACTAACCCATACCCAGGAGCTCCAATACATAACAGACATTGACTTCCTTCATTAATAACAATACCAGTTTTTACTCCTTTTCTTGGGTTATATTTCATGAAACTATCTTCAATAGTAAACAGATAATGTTCAGACACATAATTCCATTCATTTATTTTGTTTATACCACTTTTAACAAAAGCACCAAATCCATGTTGTTGTGAATCAAAAATAACAATATAAATATTATTTTGATTATATACTCTTTTAAATAATGTACTTCCATCATATCCATCAGTAATTGAATCAAATATAATAAGAGAATGTTTCATTCCAATTTCATTTTTCATTATTGGAATATGTTTTTTTAATACATCCATTTGTTTTATTCTATAATTATTCTTTGTATCTTTCTTTTCTATTTCTTTTTTATTTATTACTTCTTCATATTCTTTCTTTTTAACTTCATGTTCTTGTTTTTTTAAATCTTCAACTTTTTTTGTATCATCTTTTTGTTGTATTTCTGGTATTTGTTCTTTTTTGATAGTATCATTATATTTCATTTTACTTACTATCTCTTCAATTTTATCAATTCTCAAAGTCATTTGAGATTCTCTTCCATATTTTTTTACAATTGAATGTTTTTCATCTTCTAACAATCCAGCATCATCTAATAATATAATTCCTTTTCCTAGCTCATCAAATTCATATTGTTTTAAGATAAATTTAAATAATTGGTTATCCATAACATTTAATTGTTCAACCATTTCTTCTGGATTAACCATTAATTCATTTTTAATATTCACTAATTGGTTATATACAACTACATCAACTCCAAATTGTTTAAATATATTATTCTTTATTTCTTCATTAACTTCATGAGTAAAAACAAAATTCATTGCATCATATTCATTGTTAATTCCAAACATTTCTAATATCTTTTTTTCATTGATACTTTTCATAACATTTACAATTCTTTTCAATACATCACAGACATAAGGCTCTGTAATTTTTTGAATATCTTCTTCAAGTAACTTAAATTCCTCTGAAAGTATCATTAATTATTTTAAGTTAAATTTGAATTTTTTTCTTCAATCTTTAAATAAATACTTTTGAAACTAAATTTCTTCTACTTTTTACTTTTTATTCTTCCTATTTTCTTTCAATTTTTATTTTCCTTCTTACTAACTATTTCTTTTAATAAAACGAATAGAATAACTTTTATTTATTTCTTCATCTAATTTGATAATTATATGAATGGAATTGAAATAATATCATACTATAATAGTATAACAAAATAAGTAATTAAAACCAATATAATAATCTAACAATAACACATAATAGCTTGTATTTACATTGTATAAAAGAATAAAGTAGTTTTGTTTTAATTTTATTTATAAGTATAAAAGAAATATTCCTTTTTTAAATCTTTATCTATTATATTAAAATTTTTAATAGATTCTTCTTCTTATTATTAACATTTCTTCTATTTACTTTTTTTTCTTTTTACTACACTCTCTTTTGAATTAAAACAATGTATTCTCATAGATATACAATGTTTCAATTCATAATGTGAACAATCTCTTTCTTTCATTAATTACTTCTAATTTTCTGTTTTTACTTATTTATATTTTTTTTTTTTTGAAAAGATTAATTCAATTCAAACCAAAAGACGAAGTATTGTTTATTATAATAAATAATTTAGTTAATTAATAATTAACTAAAAATTTAGAAAAATATTTTTAAAATTCCAATTAATTTTCAAAAAATCTCTGAACGAATATATTTTATTTCTTATAAATTCATGTCTTATAGATTCATAAGAACTTCAAAATATAGACATGTCTTTGGTACTGAATTTAAAAATGACCAACAATATAATGGAACTAAAATGACTAATTCTGCTTGGGACTCTAATATAATAGTTTGTGGATATAAACATTTCTCAATGATTTGGGATGTAGCTGGAGGAGGAGCTTTTGCTGTTATTCCTTACACTAGAGTTGGAAAACAATGTGGTATTTGCCTTGTTAGTGGACATAAAGGAACAGTTCTTAATCTTGATTATAACCCTTTTAATGATGATTTAATAGCTTCAGTATCTGAAGATAGTATTATACGTATTTGGGGAATACCACAAGAATGTCCAGCAGAAAATATTCGTGAACCTCTTCAAATTCTTCAAGGACATAAGAGAAAAGTAGGAACATGTAATTTTAATCCATGTGCATCTAATGTTTTAGCCACTTCATCTGCTGATACTACTATTAAAATTTGGGATATTGAACAAGGTGAAGAAATGTTTTCTATTGGAGGATTTACTGATATTGTTAATTCAGTTTCATGGAATAGAATTGGAAGTGAATTTGTTTCAACATGTAAAGATAAAAAAATAAGAATTATTGATCCAAGACAACAAAATATTGTTAACAGTGTTATTGCTCATCAAGGATCTAAAGGGATGAGATGTTTATGGATGCAAAATAATGATATGATCGTTACAACTGGATTTTCAAGAAGTGCTGAAAGAGAAATAGCATTATGGGATCCAAGAAGTCTTGAATCCCCATTATGTAGACATACAGTTGATAATCAGTCTGGTGTTCTTATGCCATTTTATGACCCAGACTTATCTCTTCTTTATCTTGGAGGTAAAGGTGATTCTACAATTTCTTATTTTGAAATTGTTCATAAAAAGCCATATTTTTATTCTCTTAATACATTCAGAGGAGAAAAACCACAATCTGGACTTGGAGTTATTCCAAAGAGATTATGTAATACTACAATATGTGAAATTACTAAATTTATGAAAATTGTTCCAGATGGAGTGGTTCCAATTTCTTTTTGTGTTCCAAGAAAATCAGAATTCTTCCAAGATGATATTTTTCCTAATACATATGCTGGTATTCAAACTGAAACTGCTAATGAATGGAAACAAGGAATTACTAATGAACCAAACTTATCATTTAATTTTGGTTTACAATATATTCCACCAGAAAAAATTATTAATTCATCAAATCAATGTATTACATTACCTAAAGTATCAATAAGTAATAAAGAAATTAAAGAAGAATGTGAACAACTTAAAAGAAGAATTAATTACTTAGAAACAGAATTATCAAAAAAGGATATAATAATTAATGTACTTCAATCTAAACTTTATAAACTAGAGGATTAATAAAAAAAAAACCAAAGAAATAGAAAAGAAATATCTAATTACATATTGTTTTTATACTATTATTAACAACCATATGTTTCATCATTATTACATAAGTTATTAATATCTTCACAATACCCACATTTTTTTGTAATTGAACACCATCCACATTTATTAGTTAAACAAGTATTTTGATTTGTTTTAGTTTCACAAGATTTGAAGGTAACTTTACCATAACTTACTTTAATAAATCCTGAACAAACAATGTAAAAATCAATAGTAGTAGTAGAAATATCATCAGAAACAATTCCTCGAATAGTTGGTAAAACAGAGTTTGGTGATAAACTTGATGGCATTACTAAAGTTAAATTTTGAGGTAATGGAATATCACTTTGTATTTGAGGAGAAAAACAGTTCCAAGGTGGAGATGATAATACCATTGGAATTATTGGTTCTTTGGGATATATATTAACATGATATGGATTATCTATTCCTCTTATATTTAAAGAAATAAATGGTTGTAAATAAAATAATACTATTGTTGAAATAAGAGTTAATACAAATACACCAATAAATAATCCAATAATAATAAATCCTTTATGAAGTATATGAGAAGAATTATAAATAATATATGCTAATACTGCTAATCCAAGGAATATACCAAAATAAATAGAAGAAACAATAATTCCACCATATCCTAATATTAATGAAATAGTAAATGAAATATGAAGAAGTAAAAAAACAATTATCCATAAAAAGAATTGAGAAAGAGACCAATGACTTTTTAAATGAGGATATTTAAATAATGTATTTATTCGTTTTCTTTGAGCAATAATAACACTCCAAAGAATAATAGTTTCAACTAATACTATAATAAAACTAAAATAACAATATGGTAAAATAAAAGGAAGAATAATACTAAAGATAGTAAAACTAATTGCCATAAATAATACCACTATTGGTGGTCCAAAAAATTCTAATGGAAAAAATCCAAAAACTCTTGAACTTTTTTCAAGAAAGATATACTGTTTATTTTCTTCCATTAATTTTTGAAGTTGTGAAACAACATCTTCTACTTTTTTAGATAATTCAATATATTCTTGTCTTGATGAACTTTGTAAACTTACTGAATTATCATGAATACTTTTTAATGCTTCAATAATATATGGAATAAGACCTAAATAATCAACGCTTAAATTATTTGTCTCATCTTTTTGAACTAAGTCTGGAATAATCTCTTGAACTTCTTGTGCAATAAATCCATATTTTATTTTATTTGGCTCATTTTTATAAGCATATTTTTTACCAACTAAAGAAGTAACTGAATTTAATGCATTTTCAATTGTTTGAATATCTGTTTTAGACCTAGCATCAGAACGAACAAGATATCCATTTTCAGCAAGTATTTCACCAAAAACATGTAATCTTTTTATTTGATTTGTTATTTCTTCTATTTTAATAAATTCTGTATTATTTTGAATATTAGAATTTATTTGATTAATATCTTCTATAGCAATAGTTGTAGCTGACTGGAATGGTTGTTCTATTTCTATATATTCTAATTGATTATTATGTTGATTATTATTTTGGTATGTAGAAAAGAATGAAAATGGATAAATAGATTGAGTAATTGAGTTATTAAAAGTTGCTAATGATTGTAATTGTTTTGGAGTATTAAATTGATTAAATAATGGTAATTCTATTTCAAGAATATCTGATGAATTTTGTTCTGTAATTGTTATTGGAGTTTCAATATGATTGTTATAATTTTGTACAGTTAGATTATTCAATTTTCCTTCTAATTTTTGAGAAATACTTTGTTTTTCAACAAGTTGAATCATATACTTTTCACAAAGATTTTTTAATGGTGCTTTATTTTGAGTCTTTTTAAATGGTGTTGTTGGAGATAACTCTGGGAATTTTTGTTTATAATATTCTCTAAGATGAATATCCCAAACATGAGCATAACAATTAAAACGAGTTTTTGCAGGTTCATTACAATTAGGAAAAATACATTTCCAATTCTTTTTTCTTTGTTTTTGAGTTCTTTGAATTTCTTCAGAAGAGACAAGAAGAATACCATTTCCATTGAACTCTATTTGTTGATTTGGTTCTTGCATTAAATTAATGATTATAATGAAAACAGTTGTTGTCTCTCTGAGAGATATAAAAAGAGACAAATTCAAGAAAAAATGCAATTTTATTTTAAAATTAAAAAATAATAAAAAGATGTAATATATAACAAAAAAAAATAATGAAAGAGAAAATTTTATTAAATATATTAAAATTCATCATTCTTTTAAATTTTCATTAAAAATAGAACTTAAAATAAACTCTAAAATAGATATCTAATCTCTTTGATGCCTAATTACAAAAAGAATAAACCTTACTACTTATATGTTATAATAGGTCTAATTGGAATTATAAGTTTTTACATAAACTTTCAAGTTAGTAAAGAAAGTAAATTATTTTACAAATTAAGACTTCCAATTTGTTTTTTAGAACTTTTAATTTGTGTAGATATGTTAGTTATCAATTATATTAATCCACATAACAAAGATTATAATAAATATAATTATTGGATAGGTCCTATTAGAAAAGTCTTTGCAAATTCACACACAAATACTAAAAATCTTGATGTTAATGCAATTGATAAAAATGTTTTTTTTGATAAAAATTATTCATTAGATTTTTGTTTAAAATGCAATACAATCAAACAACCAAGAGTAACTCATTGTGATATTTGTGGAACGTTTGTTTTGTATTTGAACTAAATATTTATAATAAATTGAATAACATTAATATATAATAGATGTATTTTAAGACATGATCATCATAGTATTTTATTACAAACATGTATTGGACAACATAATTATTTATATTATTATCTTTTTGTATTATTTACTGTAATTACTACTGGTCTTAATTGTATTATATTTCTTCTTTTTCAATTCAAAAAATTACATATAGAATGTCGTTTAATTTCTTTAGGATTTCTTTTTGGAAATATTTCTATTCTATTTGAATTCTATCAAAATTTAAAAACAATTGTTTATCAACTTCAATTTAATTTTACTTGTAGTGAATATAAAAAATATTTAAACAGTAGAAGAATGCATTGTCAATACCATTATGATACTGGAAAATTAACTACAAACATACATGATGCTTTTTATTGATTATTTGTTATTCAATTTTTTCGTTCTAATAAAACCTAAAATTAAATTAAATTTTTTAGATTTTTTTAAATTAATAGTTTAATTGAAAAAAAATTTAAACTAAAAAAAAATTTATATCATTCTGAATACTTATGTTCGCATCTTATTTATTAAAACGTCATTCTACTACTCAACTTATTTTTGATAAATATGAAAAGATTGAAACATTAGGAGAAGGAACATATGGTTTTGTTTCTAAAGTTAGGAATGTTCATGACAAACAATATTATGCTTTAAAAATGATTAAAGGTGAAAATGATTCTGATGGAATTTCTAGTACTTCTCTTCGTGAGATTTCTTCATTACTTAAATTAAGACATCCTTTTATAATTAAGTTTGTTTTAATTTTCATCTTTATAAGTATTGAATTGTTATATTTATATAGTGTAGATTAATTTCAGTTGAAAATAAAGTTGATTCTTTAGGAATGGTATTTGAATATTGTGAATGTGATTTATCAAAATACATTAAAAATCATTCAAAAATTCAACCAAAAGTAATTAAAAAATGGATGAAACAATTATTCAGTGCTATTGAATATCTTCATGCTAGAAGATATTTACACCGTGATTTAAAACCACAAAATATATTGATTGATAAATATTGTAATATCAAATTGGCTGACTTTGGTCTTGTTAGAGCTGTAACAATTCCTTTAAGAGAATATACAACTGAAATCATTACATTATGGTATCGTCCACCTGAAATTTTACTTGGTGCAACTCATTATGAAGCATCAGTTGATATTTGGTCAATAGGTGCAATTTTTGGGGAATTAGCATATGGAGCACCAATTTATAGAGGAGAAAGTGAATATGATGAATTATTAAAAATATTTAGAGTATTAGGATATCCCGACGAAAAAGAATGGCCAGACTTTACTTATCTTAAAAACAGAATTAGACATAGCCTGCCTGTTTTTGAGAAAGAAAATTTATCTCAAAAATTTGAAGTACTTAATACAAGTGGAATTAACTTATTTGAATGTTGTAATCAATATAATCCTACTAAAAGAATAACTGCTCGTGATGCTCTTCATCACCCTTATTTTTCAGAATAATTTTACTGTTATTTTTTCCTTGAAAATTTATTTGAAAAAATACCCCAAAAATTAATTTCCTTTTTATATGTATCTTTAATAGTTATTTCTTTAAGAAATGAAAGAAGTGTTTGTTCTTGGAACTTTGTCTGCTTTATTTGTTTGTTTTCTGTAATTCTTTCTTATTTCTCTTTTTTTTGTAACTTATTCTTTCAAGACTATTGCATGTCTTTATTCTGTTGCTGCAATTTATGGTATATCTATTCATTGGACAATTAATAAAAATGAAACAAAATATAGATTAATGTCATCTATTCTTACTTTAACATTTGGTATTATTGGTGTTGTTTTCCATTTCTTTGCAACTGTCTTTGTTTTTTATAATAAGAAAGAGTATAGAAGGATAAGAAAACTTTTTATTATTCTTTTATTTATAGAGACTATTATTATTCTTCCCCTTGTTATTCTTAGTTGGGTTGGTGGAGCATTTGAGGTTATTGACGTTGAAAATTTTACTGAAGTTAAGAAACATGGCTTTGAGAAACAAGTTTGTTTTTGTTTTTTTTATATGTAATGCGATATTATTCATATCTCAGTTTCATTGTTGTTATGTCTTTTCAAATGGAACAGTTCAACCTGAATGTTCTTGTCTTTATGATAATCACCTTTCATTTACTACAATTAAAGAAATGGAAAATGATGGAACATGTACCACTTGTGGAAATTGTATTGAAACTAACAGTACAATTCTTTTTTATTTGTGCTGTGGTCTAAACACTTTATTCATAGTTTCAAATATATGTTTTTTTGTATGTTACACATTTGTTGAAGTTAGAAGATGTTGTCATGTACTAACTTTTGAAGAAGAGATTCAGCTAAGAATGGAACAACTCTCAAAACAACGAACATTTCAACAAACCACTGTAGAAAATATTCCTAAAAATCAAAACATGACTAACCAAGCACCACAAAAGGAAATAGAGATGACCTCACAATAATTATCTATATTTCAAAGTTGTCAACATTGAACTTACCAGTCACTTCTTTATTAAAATAGATATTATAACTTCTGTTATCTTTTTTTTTGTTATTCAATTTTTTGTTAAATCAAAATCTTTAAAATCAATATAATGAATAAGTTTGTTCATTTCCACTTCTATTACTCTTATTATTATCTCTATTAATTTATTAGTAACCAACCAAAAGAAGCACCAGTAGAAATATTTAAACCTGAAATGAAACAATTTCATGAAAATTGTCAAATTTGGTATTCTGTTGTTTGTGTTTTATCATTACTAATCACTTTTATTAGTTATTTATGCATTAGATTCCAACTGAAATAGTAAATCATTATATGGCGATGGCTGGATTTCAATCTCAAGACAAACAAATAGCAAAAGCAGTTGCTCTAGCTACTGAAAAATTTATGTTTGAAGTTATAACTGATGCCCAAGCATATGGATTGACACATCTTCATTCACACTCTGCTATCAAACCTGTTACTACAATGACATTAGAAGATGTTGCGTCTGCATTAAAAGACCGTGGAATTAATGTGAAAAGACCTGATTTTGTAGTAGAACAAACGATTAATTAATAATAAAAATTTAAAATAAAAAAAATAAAAGGTTTTAATAAAAATGTAAAAGTATCTTAATTGTACTAATAACTTTTTTATTCAACTGGTGGAAGATTGTCAGGATATCCCCCTGATTGTAATAATGTTCTAACTAATGCCTTTGCAAGAATATATTGGTGTGCATTTAATGCTCCTTCTTTTCCTGAATCTGCAATTGACCAAATCTTTTGAAGATCTTTTTTATCTGCTCCACTAGCCATTAATGGTGCAAAACAATCTTTACCAAGTACTTTACCAACTTCATTCTTTGGTAATTTATCAAACTCTTTTTGGTATGAGTTCATTTCATCTTCACTAACATCAAGAGTAATACAACATTTTTCAAAGTTACTTGCAACTTCAAATGGATTGGTATGAGTTGATAAGTCATCTTCCATTGGGAATTTTTTCAATAACAATGGAATTTGAGTTCCAAGAGCATCATCAACTGCATTAATTACTCTCATATCCAATTTAGGGAATTTAGAAAAATCACAATTTTGTAAACGATCTTTATATACGTCAATTGGTGGGAAATCACCAGCAGCTAAGTTATATCGTTTCATAACAGTATTGAAAACAGTGTTCAAGTCTTTTAATAATTCTGCTTTCTTCTTATCTTTACCAAATGTTGGCATTTGTTCACGAAGATATGATGTAATATATGCATTAGCTTTAGCCAATCTAGCACGTTTACATAATTCATTAACTTTACGAACAGTAGCTTGTTTTGGTAATGCATGAAGATCATACATTAAATCATCACGTTCTTTTTCAAATAATCCAGTAAATAATGACTCTTTAAATGGTTGGTCCCAGAATGAAGAGACATAAACCCTTAGACATTCTGGTGTTTGCATAACTTTACCAAGTGACCACATAAGAGCTCCATATACTCTCATTAATTGTTGTGAATCAATAGAATCTGCTTTATTTAATACAAGTCTCATCTTTTCAGAATGTTTCTTAACAGCTTCAATAACTCCTTTAAATTCATCAGAAATATCTAATTTATGTGCATCAAATACAAGTACAATCATATCAGCTCTTTCAGCAAACCATCTTACAACTTCATTAAAATCATATGATCTACCAATTCTTTGTTTTTCTCCAGACAAAACACCAGGAGAATCAATAAAAGTTAAATGTTCAAGAAGTGGAAGATTACAGAATGACCCATTAAATTTAGCCATAAATTCATTACCAAACTTAGATAATGAAGTAAATGGTTTATCTGATTGAACACATAAGGTATTACCTGGAATATTAGTAGAATTAGGTCCATGCATAATTGCCATAAAACCATCAGTAGTTGGTTCAGGACCAATATGAGAACCAGGATAGTCATAGTTTAATAAATAATTAATAAAAGTAGTTTTACCAGTAGAATATTGACCAAGGAATAAAACCATTGGCTTAGCTTCAAAATCAGCTTGTCTCATAAGAGGAGATACTAAATAATCATATTTATAATCAGCCTCTAATTTTTTAATTTTTTCATCATAAATCTTCTTCACACCATCAATAACTGAAACATATGAAGTGTCCATTTGTGGTTTTTGTTTCTTCTTACCAAACATCTTGTTGTTTCTTTTTTAGTTTTTAGTTTTAGGCTATTTTTTGGATAAGAAGAAAGTTTTTTGGATTTTTTTATATATTTTATTTTTAGAATTATGTTTCATAATTTTGAATATCAATAAGTTATAAATAAGAAGTATAATTTATTATACTTTTAATAATTTGTTATCAAAAATTATTAAATAAAATAAAAAAATTAGAAAAATTATGAAACAAAAAAGATTGTCTTATTTCATTTTGTATGCAAATTGACGAAACATCAACTAAATTACCAGCAAAAATTATTGTTAATTCAGCAGAAATTCCAAGAACAAGAAAACATAGAAAAAAGAATTGGCAATGTACATTTGAAGGATGTACTGATCCTTTAAAAACTCGGTATAATTGTTATTCTCATATTTGGGATACTCACCTTAGAAAAGTATTATGTGAAAAAGAGCCAGGTCGTTATGAAGATGTTCCATATAAAAATATTCAAAATAAAGAATTAGTTAAATCTCTTTGTGAAAAATATATGACTCAACTTGTATCTGATAAAAAGAGACAAGAAAGTGATGATGAACAACTTGTTCAACAAATATCTTCTAATCCTCAACCAATTCAACACATACCCCAACTTGTTCCTGTTCTTTCTCAAATACAACCTCAACCACAAATACAACCAATACTTCAAAACCAAATCCCTTCTCAATTAACACAACCAATACAACCCCAATTATCTCAAATTGTTTTAGCACAACCCCCAAATGTAATAAATTCTTTTGTACCAAGTTATCCTCTTGTGCCTAATCAAATGCTTCCTTATCAATATCAAATGGATACAACACCACAAATTACTTCTTTTGATCAAACATTATCTTCTGCTGAACAAACAAATTCTCAAGAAGTCAAAATTGAAATGCAACAACTTCAATCTCCTCAACAATCAAATACACTTTCACTTGCATCAAATGAATGGGATGTTTTAATTAATACAGTTAATGTTTCACAATCAGCAACACATCAATTACTTAGTTCAGAATTACAAAAAGGAGATTTTTTACGTATTTATAATATATCAAAAACTCTTCATAGACTTCATGTTTATGGAGAAGTCCTTGCTGAAAATGGATATTTTGTAAGATCTGATGAACGAACTAAATGTCATATTAGACCTTTATCAGATTGTCTTGAAAGTATTTCACAACTTGTTGGAAAACAATATCGTTATAAAAATTCACCACAACTACGACTAGGTTTTGTTGCACAAGAAGTAAAAGAGGTATTACCCGATTTAGTTCATACTGATGAAATAACTGGAACATTAAGTGTAGATGTACTTGGAGTTATTCCATTTTTAGTAGAGTCATTAAAACAATTAAACTCTGAAATATCTATGTTAGATGGAGCTAATGATACACAATTTAAATGTTTACAAGATAGAGTTGTTGAAGCTCTTAATCTAGCAGATGATTTAAAAATAAAACAAAAACAAGACTTATATGAATTACAAAAATGTATTGATAAAGCTCAAGAACCAATTTATTCTTTTTCATTTGGACCAATTCCAGTAACAATATATTTTGCAATTATTTTAACTTTTATGAGTTTGATTCTTCCATTTACATATCGTTATCAATATATAATATGGGGATATTTCATAGTTACAACATTATGTGTTTATCTTTCTTTAATACATGAAAGAAAAGAATTATGTGAAATGTTTAGATTTCATAGAGTTGTTTGGGAATGGAAAACTTATCATTTTCTTACATTATCTCTTTTTACTTTCTTTTTTATTATTTCATTATCACTTACTGTTATTATGGGACCTGCTTCTTATCAAACAGCTGCAGGAATAACAGTTGTAATATTCCTAGTAATTATGATACTCATTTTCATTCATAAAGTAAAGAATCTTTCATTTTGTTTTGTATCAACAATATTATGTGTGATTCTTGTTTTTGGATTTATTGCTATTGGAATTATGTATGTTATACAACCATCTTATCAACCAACAATAGTAGATCATCAGTCTGGTGATACTTTTGTTTTAGACCGAAATAACCAATTTAATTTTTCAATAAATTCTATTCCATTTAATTGTTTCTCTCCAAATTTCTATTCAAAAAATCTTGGTTCTCTTTCTCTTATTCACAATTCTTCAATTGATAATGAATTTATTATTAAAGGAAATTTATCAGAAACAGTTAATGATGTTCAATTTTATCTTACTTGTTCAAAATATCTGACTTTCTATTTTGGTTCATATTCAATTTCTCCTTTGTAATTTGATTATTTTATTGTTGGAATTGTTTTCAAATCCAAAAAAAAAACAAACTCAAAAATAAACTAAAAATAAAATATTTAGAGATGGCTTTTAACAAAGAAAAGAAAGACTCCACTGTTGATGATGGTAATGCAATAGTGTATCCATCTGATTATTCTCGTGCTTTAGATGATAGTTATTTATATTTTATAAATTTATTAACAAACGACCTTGAAATTGCTCGTATTTTTGGAGAATCCCTTCCTATAACTTCACAAGATTTATTTAGCAATCTTATTTGTGATTTGTTTTGTGAAGTTCATGTAATTGATGACTTCATTGAATTATTATTAAAACAAGAATTTCAAACCAATGTACTAACAGCAACTTTATTCAGAACAAATAGTTTATGCACAAAGGTTCAAACAGCATATGCTAGAAAAGAATGTCAAAATTTTATGATGGAAGTATTTCAACCAATTATTCAAAAGGTTATTGCAATGCCTCCTCTTGAGTTAGACCCTATTAAACTTCAAACACTTTATCCAAATAAAACTGAAGAACAATTAACTGAAGAAGCAAATAATAGTCTTCAAAAATTAGAAGATTTAAGTGATGAAGTAATTGCAACTTTAAGAAGACATTTACGAAATACTCCAACTCCTCTTTCAGTTATGTGTCATCAAATTAGAGAGTCTTGTTTCTTATATCATACAGATGATCCTGATATTGCTCTCTCACTTATTGGTGGTTTTGTATTTCTTAGATTATTTTGTCCTGCTTTGGCTGCTCCAGAAGGTTCAAATTTATGTGGTACGGCTATTGTTCCACCAACAGCAAGAAGAACATTAATTCTTTTAACAAAAATTTTACAAAACATTGCTAATAACGTTAGAGAAACAAAAGAACCTTGGATGACTAATTCCTTACCTTATGTTATGTCAAGAGGACCTGCTCTTCAAGCTTATTTAAAAGCATTATCTAATGCTGGAATTATTAAAACAAAACCAACTATTATATTTGAAGCTTCTCAAATTAATCCACCTCTTGTTATTGAACTTCATAGACTCTTAAATGAAGCAGTTCCAAATTTAACTACTCTTAGTGAAAAAGGAGCACAACAAGTTTGTCGTAGACTCCCATGGAGTAAATGTGTAAGAAGACCATCAACAAGAGCAGTTCGTTTACCTGACCCTCAAGGTCTTCTTAAAAATGCAGATTTATTAGGACCTTCTCCACGTACTTATCAATTGAAAATACCTAAATTTATTGGAAATGCACCTACTGGTGATCCATTTAGAGATTTTCTTTCATCACAACATGTTACTGTTTATATTGGAAGAAGTCCAAAACAAGAGGCATTATGGTATGTTTCATGTGAAAGAGTAGCACAAGGAATGATGGAACGAGGATTTCTTACAGGGTATACAAAACTAAAACAATTTATTCCAGACAATGAAATTATAATATGTGATTTTGCATGGGTTGTTCTTAATCAAGTTGATGCTATTGCTGATTTTGTTAAACATCTTGGAACAGGTAAAATAATAGGTATTAATGCACATCCTTCTATTAGAAAACAAATTCAAACAGCTTTTTCACAAACTACATTTGAAGAAAAAGAAGAAATAAGAAAAGCATTTGGTGATATTCCAAAAGTCCCAGAAAGTTTAATTTATGAACAAAGAGATTATCCAGTTATTCAAAAAGACAAAAAGAATGAACGAGTTTTAAGAATTGGATATACTGCAATTTATATTATTGATCCAAGAAATAGAAAAATTAGTGAAAAATTAGCATATAAAGATATTGGAGAATTTATTGGTTTTTCAAAAAGTGGAGCATTCCATATAAATCACAACAATGGATTGTATTGTTTTACTTTAAAATCTGCTTTAGAAAGAGGTCAAGTTTTAGCAGATATTTATATGGCTAAAACATCTCGCCGTTCATTATTTTCTCGTGTTGGAGATTTTGAGTTTCTTGCTACTTTAGTAGGTAAAAAAGGGGAAAAAGAAATTGAATGTACAATTATAGTAACACCAACTGCTTTATTACTTGTAAGTAATAAAATTATTGATAGAGAAATATGTTTCTGTGCTATTGATACGATTGATTGGACGATTCAATCAGAAAAAGGAGTTTCAAGAGAAATTGTTAAAATTGAATGCCGCTCTAATAAAAAGGATGAAATTATTTCTGATATGGTCAGAATTACTGTACCAAAAGATGTTTCTGATCAATTCAAAGAAATTATCAATTCTGTTGTGATACAACATAAGTGTTAAAAACATTTAACTCGGCTATTTTTTATATCTGTGAATATTTCTTTTTTTTTTTTAAACTCTAAGATATAAGTAAATGTATTTCAATTAAAGTGGTTGTAAAAAGTTGGATGGAACAAATCCTCTTTTTCCATTAATTTCACCTTCAAACCATTCATCATCAGTTGAATAAATTTTAATAATATCTCCTTTTTTAAATGATAACTCTAAACTTTCTGTTGCATCGTATGAATAAATTGCTTTATATAATTTTACTGTTTCTTCTTCTTTTTCAAATTCATCTAATTCAAGTTCAATACTTTCAACATCAGATGATTCTTCAGTTGTATCTTCATCACATTCTACAATTTCAAATTTCTTTTTTGGTGTTTCTTGTGTTTTTGAGTTTGAAACAGAATCAATGTCAACTGTTACAACTTCAAACTCATCATCTTTTTCTTGTTCTTTTTTCATTTTTTCAATTCTTGCTCTAACTTTTGGATCAAGTTGTGTAGGTTTTTTCATATTTTCTGGGTTTTTAGGAATAAGAACACTATGTCTTACATCTTTTTGTTGTGTTTTTCCATTTCTAATTTCAGATAACATTCTTGTTTGTCTGTTTTCAATTCTTTTTAAATTTTTAACAGCTCTTTTCTTTGAATTTGGTTGTTGTTCTACTTTCTTTATTGAATTATTCTCTTGTTTTTCTATTTTGGTTGAAATTTGTGGCTTTGACTGTTCTTTCTTTTGTTCTGTTAGTGATTGTAGTTTTTGTGTTTGACGACGTTGGTTTGGTTCATCTTTCTTTATATTTAAAGCACTTCCTGTTTTTGAAACACTCGTTTTATCGTCTATCTTTGGTTGTTGTTGTTGAGGTGTAGATTTTGGTAGTGGAACTGTACGACTCGTTTGTTGTAATTGATTTGGTTTTGTTGGAGGTAATTCTTTTTTAAGGGTTGGATATCTATTAACATCTTCAGGTTCTGTTATATTTACAGCAGAAGACTCCTTAACAAAACATACTTCTAATTTATATTTACCACAGTGTAAATCATTCTGTTTTTTTCTAAATACAATATCTTCAGTTACACAGGATTGATCTGGTGGAGTTATTGTATAAGTTTTTTGTGTTAATTCAGTCTTTTCCATACTGTTTTGTAAATTGAATAAACTACTTCGAGTTTCAGTTATTTGTTCATCTTCATAAATATCACTTCCAATTAATCCAATCATTGTCTCATTGTAAAATAACATAGAAGTAGAAATAATATTTTTCATATCTTCAACTAATTCACTTCTTAAATAATTGTATAAGTCAAGGCTTCTTTCATACTTTTGTTTTGCTTGGACATGATTTTCTCCTTTTGAATTATTCATTTGATCTTGAAATCTATCACAATCGTTATGTCTTACTTTTAATATTGCATGTCTGGCAGAAAGAATATTATACATTTTTTTTAATTCAAGTAATGGAGAAATTACAACTTTTTGAACTGTTTGTTTGTATTTTGAAACTGCCATACTTTCAATTTCACAAGTAGTTTTATATTTCAAAGCTGCAGAATTAATTTCAACAATTGGATCAGTTAGCTGTACTAAAGCATCAGTTATATCTATTCTTGTATGTTGAACTTGGATCATTAAATCTAAATTATTAGCAATGAGATGATACAATCTGTTCAATCCAACTTCTTGATATTTAAATTTGTTATAAACTCTTTGATATTCAACATCTATTGTCTTTTCACTCATATTAAGAGTTGTTTTGACTTGATAAATCTTCTTGCTCAATGCATCTCTGATAGACATTCTTTTAAAAGAATTTTTTAGTTTTTAACTTTTTTAAAAAATTCATAGTATATTTTTTATTTTTAGTTTTTAAATCACGACTCGAAGGTAATATATCAGAAACACCACACAAATTCTATAACAATTCAATTTCTTGAATCATCAGTTATACTCTAATCATAGAGTTTTCATTGGTTAGAAGTTATCTTACTTATGAATGAAAAGAATAACAGTGATTATTATTTGTGATAATAGAATGTCATTCCATTATAATAGAAGAATGAGTATTTATAATTATGGTACTATTATTTACTTGTGAGAATGTAGATGTATTTGATAATATGGTAGTATCAATGAATAATAACCTTTATGGTGATCAATGAAGTTAATCATACTAATATGACTGTAATGATATTAGCCATTCAACACAAAATAAGAATGTAAAGAATAGGGTGTTTTACCACATATTAAAATTCCCAGAAAAAGATGATATAATAACATAAATGAAGAATATTTAAAGTTAATGACGTTTGAAAAAAAATTTTATTTCAATCCAAACAAAAGAATGAATAAACTAAACCCCTCACTTCTCAATAAGACTAAAAATTAAAGAATAAGTAAGTGGTTGATGGAAAATCATTCAAAAAGCATAAAGATGTTATTAGTATCTGGTGAGTAAAGAACAATAGAAAATAAAAGTACTACTACTTAATTAGCCACTTTTTATTTTTGGTTAAATCCACTTCACCTATTAAAAAGAATAAAAAACAATTCTCAAAAATCTTTGTTACTATCCATTGAAGGTGTTGAAAAGAAAAGAATTTTATTGAAAACTAAAAAATAAAATCCTTCATCTTAATATTACGAATTTGAAATATGAGTAGTGATAAACAACATTACAATAAAAAGAATATGGGTATTAAACAATTTCCAAAGGACTGTATCTCACAAGCATCAATAATCACTTCTATTGACCTTTCAAATAATGAGATTATAGTTTGTTTATATTTTGCAAAAGACTCAAATAATCTGAATAAACTAACAACAGATAGAATCTCCCTAAAGAAATGGGACCTTTTAAAGTATTAACTCATTTCAGAATGATGGCAAATAAAGTATCATCTTTGCCACTTAGTTTTACTACATTAACTAATCTTAGACATCTTGATTTAAATGCAAATTGTTTTACTGAATTTCCAACACAAATAACATCATTAACGAATTTAGAAGAAATCCAAATGATTCAAAATCAATTAACATCAATACCTGATTGTATTGGTAATTTAGTTAAACTACAAAGAATTTCATTTACTGCCAATTTTTTAAAATCATTACCAAAAGGATTAGCTAAATGTGTTGATATGAATTATATTGAATTAACAAGTAATGAATTTGAAGAATTTCCTGACGTAATTTGTGAATTAAGAAAAGTAACAATTTTAATGCTTCAACAAAACCGAATTAAAGAAGTACCTGATTCTATAAGTAAATTGGAAAAATTGAGTGGATTATATTTATCATCTAATAATTTTGGTAAATTTCCTGAGTCAGTTTGTACTATTCCTTCATTAACACAATTAGAATTAGATAATAATAACTTTGTTGATATACCTGATTCTCTTTCACAATTAACAAAGTTAAAAACATTAATTATTAATAAATCATTTATTTCATGTTTAAA